CTTGACCAAGGCGCGCCCACCCCCGCCCTTGTTCCGGTCTGGCGCACGGCCCAGGCCTTTAGCCCCCCTCCGCGCGCCGTCCAGCGCCGCCCCGAGCAATGGACTCCTTGGACGTGGTGTTCAAGCCCCTGCGGGAGTTCGCCAAGTCCAGCTCGCGGCTGCTGAACAAGTGCTCCAAGCCCGACCGAAAAGGTGCGGTGGACAATGATGCGCTGCGGTTTCCTGCTCTGAGCCGCGTGCGGGCGCCGCGTGGGCAGTGGCTGGTCCTTGGCGACGTGTCCCGTCGTGAGAGCGATGAGCGGGAGCGCTTGGATGGCGCTTGGGCTGATGGGTTGGGATGTTGGGCGCTTTTGCGGTCCCACCTGGCCGTGCAGCGGGGAAGGGAGGCATGCGCGAGGGCGAGTGGGCGGGGCTGCCTTGCCTGAGAGCTGACCCGCGTGACCACGCAGCGCGTTCGCGGCCTTCGACAGAGGACGAGCACTGGGCTCGGCCAAAAGCGGATGCGACCTGGATCTGCTGATCACCCCTTGTGGCTCCGGTTTGCGCGGAGTTCCGCGTGGTGCCGTGCACCGCTGGCGGATCCGGCGACGTGTTTTTGCCCGCTGGTGGCTTGATGGTACATTCGTGTACTTGCGCCAATGGAGTGGGTGCTCATTTGATCGTGGGGGCGGTGTCTGCGGCTGTGCTTGTGCCGAGCGAGACACCGTTTCCGTTGTGGAGGCGCCTGAAGGATGCAGGATTGGCCTACTCGTGCGACCTTAAGGGACGCTGCGCAGCACCCGCCTTCATGCCTTGCAAGGGCGACTCGGGTTGCTTGGAGGGTCGGCTGGTGCATTCGTTGTGAATGATTGGCGACCCTTGATCCCCGCAACTCGACTGACCATGGCTGTGCTCGCGCCGCAGAGTTCAAGGAGGTGTGCCTGAAGACCGGGCTGGGCTTCCTGGTGACGGGATTCATTGGCTTCTTCGTGAAGCTCATCTTTATTGTGAGTGGCTTCAAGGGTGGCTGCTCTATCCGAGGCTGGCTGACTTTGCGGGCCCTCCGACGCCACGCTGTACATTTGCAGAAATTGTGCGACGTTCATTCAGCGGAAAGCAAAACTTGTGGTACACTCGACACCTTTCCCGTGAGCAAGAATTTGATGACTGGAACAGTGCATGAATGTCTCTTGTCCAGCATGCTGTAGCGCTTCTCTAGCCTGTATGTTACGTCCTTGCTAACCAGAGCCTTTGTGGAGTCCATGTCGATGACTGCAGATCTGTTGGCTCTTGGTGCACTCCCCCGATTCTGCCAGTTCCCCTCTTATTGCATTTGTCAAAACGCGACAGACCGCCGTCCTTGCACTCCATTGTTCTTGCACTCCACTGTTCTTCATTGACGCAACGTGCTGGCTTTTGTTGTTGCAGCCTATCAACCAGATCATCGTTGGCGGGTAAGGTCTGCTTGGCATCTGCTAGGCCCAGTGTGCTTCCCTGTGGAAATTGACTGCTGCAATAGGCTCAGATGGTTGTCCAAGGACTTTTGGAGACGCAACAACATATAGGTGCAGCATGCATAGTTGCAGCAAGTACGCGCCGAAAGTGTGGTGATGGGATGAGGGATACACTTGTCAGCTGACTCCAGAAAGTTGCAGGCGAGGCTATTGGTGGTGTGTAGCTGAGTTGAGCCAGGCGGTGGGTGGACTGTCTTGCATCACTAATCTCAGCTTTGCAGATGGTTATTCAAAAGTGAACACTATTCAGACATCCTCAAATGGGAACACTGAGGAGTTGGAACCATGGGGGCAGCAGGATAGCTACGTTTTGTGCTCTCCAGAGTGATATTTTAAATTTTGACCCCTGGCCACTGGGTCCGGGCGCATCGACAGCATGTTTGTTTCAGATCAGCTGACTTATTATCTGCAGACTCGAGGCAAAGGCATGCTCATATTGATCCAGGCAAGGAGGCTGTGAAGGTTCTGCTCTATGATCTGCTCTATGCTTTGCACGGATGTGCTGCAGGTGACCTTGAGAAGCACATGAACTTTTTGCCAACGGGGTGCTTGACTGTGCTGATGCCATCAGCATGTGTTAACTGCTGACGTGTATACTTGGATGGAGCCAATCACGATGTCCTGTTAGATTTCCTGATGCTCAGGGAGATTGGTGGGATGATGGCGAATTGCGAGGTTATAGCCTCGTTGCTATGCGCTCTTCACTGTCGTTCTTATAGATTCCCGTAGAGCCATGGGTGTTGATTCTCAAAATTAGCAAAAACACCCATGATACCATGATATGTCGTCCTTGTTTGCCTTAGTCCATGAATGGGCTCTGCCAGTGCTGGCCAGCACACCTTCGCGCACCACCCGTACCTGCCAGGGAATGCCTATTGGGAGTACATTGGCGCCGCCCTGCGCGTCCGGTTCATCCGTGGGAGCCGGAAATTGCATGTTTTTATGTGTCCCCGGCCATCGCCATTGGCAGCGAGCACTGGCGCAAACCCGTTTGCCAACTCTCCCACGATTCCAACTCGGCCGTCCAGCCCGCAGCCATACCGTCAACGCTGCAAGAAGCTGTCCATACGCATTCATCAATTTCCAGCGCAGCGCCCGGCACATTCGCGGTCTTACTCCGAAATTGTCGCCCTGTGTGGCATAGTGCCTGTTCAAATCAGTATGATTCGAAAACTAGCCTGCAATGCTCATGACATCGAAATCCGTCGAAACGAATGACCGGTGCTGCCTGTACAACGCTGAATCTGTACTTTGGCTTTTTGGCAACGCTTGTCACCAGTAAACGTCAAACTTCTCTGTTTAGTTGCAAGATCAGCGCCACAGCGCCAAAGTCGCCAGATGCAGATCACGCCCCAGACGTTGGGTGATGGGACACATGACTAACGTTTAACCCGCACCCACAAACTGGCTGATGCCCAGCGCCGCTTCGCCTCTAATGCGCTGGGCTGCCACCAGCACTGCACTCCGCCACTACTACGGCTGCCCACTGTATTTGTGCGCAAGGGGGAAGGATTGGCCCTGCGAGCGGCAAGGATGGCTGCGACTCGGGGTGCGATACGAAGAAGGGGACCAAAAGGAAAAGGGAGACGCCACCTGGACATCCCGAGCGCCAGCTGGGGGATGGCGAAGCGTTCTTATCTCCTGCAACTCACCACTAACCGCTGGGCACCGTCTCAGACTGTGTACATCGAAAACGAGGGGTGTTTGATGGAGGCCGGATGGACAGAAACCAATTGACGCCGTTCCATGGGGATGGCTGATTTCGGCTGCGAAGGCGACTCCCAGACTACCATACGCAAGCAGCCACCAGGTTGTGGTATCATCCCCGCAAGCTTGGGCGTCAGCGCTCGTCCGAAGAGCTTGATAATTCTTGGGCGTAAACAACAGAAACCGAAGCCACACAGACAGGACGCAACACTTGGAAGGCTCAAAGGAACCCAAACGCAGACACTCCCTGGCCATTATTGTTACAAATACTCGCTCCTCCAAATCCAAGGCCAGCAACCGTTCGCCGTGCATTTCCCCCGCCTGCAGCGCCGCCAACTCAAGACGGAATTAGCGCCGAGCTGCCGCACCCAGCAGCACGAGACAATCCGCCTTTGCCAGTGCATTCTGCGGGCATGTGAACGACCGAGCACGCCACCAGAGACCCACACACGTGGGACGCCTCCCACCTCCACACTCAATTTATTGAGGTTGGAGGATGCTCCTGCCGAGGTCCCCTAGCTAGTGGGCGCCCAAAGGCTGCTGTTAATTCATGTTGCGCCCACCTCGAGGAATCGTGTAGAAAATTCGTCCCTTCCCTCCCATTCCCTAGGCGCATCGAGCAGGCACCCGACGCCGGCCATGCTGTGCCACATCTCTAGTGTCTTAGCGCTGAGAACTGCAAGCGATGGGCACCCAAAGAATTGCAGCAACCCGCTCAGGCCACATATGCACGACAATTACCCACCCCTTGGCCCCACATCCCACACCCACATTGTGCCCCGCTCAGGCCACATGTGCGCGACAATTACCCACCCCTTGGCCCCACACCCTACACCCACATTGTGCCCCTTTACTGCCCATTCGTTTCACAAGCATTTCACCCAGGTGTGCATTCTAAGCGGAATCCCTTCTAAGCAAACCCGCCCAAGAGTCAAAGTCACAGTCCGCTGCCACTCTAAGCGAGGCGGCAGAGGTAGCGGAGGCCGTAAGCCATGGTTTGAATACACCATGCTGGCGGCGGAATCACACCCCAAGAGGAAAAACCCCCGTAGGCCAAGCGGCCAACAATCAAATACCCAGAACTCAGAAAACCCACATGGCAAGTTGGCCTGCGATGCGGCAAAACCAAGCAAGCAATCACACCTGCAATGGGAGGTGCAATCACAGTTGAACACATCAAGTGGCCCTGCCCTCTCTATGTCCCCACTCCATTTCAATCACAGGCCGCATCTCGTTCAAATGTCGAGCCGTTGTCGCAATCTAGACCGAAATGGGGCCAAACTTTCCAAGACTATTGTACACCGTCAGGAATCCAAAAACCTAATGCCTTGCAACCAATTCCCTTTGAATAGTTGTTCCTTCTCAGCCCTCATTCCAAGCAACATTTTTGGACACCAGCCTGTCAACCTTGACTGCCTGGCGCGCTCTCTGATAGGCGCCCAAGATCCGCAACCACACACAATGCAAGAAGAGCCAAAGAATCGAAGGTACAAACATCCACAGCGCTTTTTCGGCGGGGGGCTCCACTGATATGCACCTTCGACTGGTCAAAAGTCATTTTCCCACAGAAGGACCGACCCTGAGACCCTTCAAACTTCCCATCATGCATTCGCAAGCAACCTACCGTTTCACTGCAACAGCATTCCCATTCTGCAGTGGCCTGTGGCGCAGCCTCTGCAGCCAGCAACATTCCTGAACACATCACCAGCCAGCCAAGCCCTGGACCCACAAGGCAGACACATTGGACATGCGTGCATCCAACCCATGTCATAACCTACCACCACGTATGTGGATGCAGGCCTAGGTGAGGACCATATCGTCATCGCTGCCAGCCTCATTCCAACCGACCTGAAAGTATGGACCCAAGCGAAAGTCCAGCTGGATGAGGTACTCACACTGCAGGTTGCGAGCCTCCTTCTTGCTTACAAGACGCTCGGTGATGCGCTGGAGCATCTCGACCAGGACAGTGATCGGCATTGGGTCGCACACCTGCAGGCATGGAATCTTTGTTTGAGAGAATGCCATCTGGGTTTATGCATCTGCACCCCTGCACCCCTGCACTGTGAACAGGTCGCCTCTGGATGGCACAAGTGCCTTGATGGGCAGGTTCTTTGGACACACCTGAATTCTGGCACTAAGAGATTGGGCGATGGGACAACTGTCTCGAGTATTCTACGAGGAGCCATCGCAGCGATGAGGCGGCCAGCAGTGCAGCCTGCAAACCTTGCCTTTTAGTCCACTAGGGGCACCCAGATTCTAGCGCTGACAGATGCTCCACATCAAGATGATATCAAGCAGAACGCCACTGGCAAACCGTCGAAGCGAAAATTTCCTGCACCAAGTGTCCCAGATGGCAAAAGTGCGTTCCAACTGCATCGACTTATGTGTGAAGAGTAGCAATCCATGTTGCAAGGGAATGTCACCAAACACTTGAAGTCCTGAAGAGGGAACACGCAGCCAAGAACCAAGCCACTATCCAGCCAAAACAGCCTGCAGTGCTGCAACACAGAGTATGAAGGAATTGGACACTGCCAGCGCCACACAAATACTATATTCCGATGATCTTTGTGGCGATTGATTGAATTGCTATGCTATGGATATGACTGTTGCTCACCTGGGAGGCAAGGAAAAGGCACACAGAAATCGCCACCAAATCCGACTCCTGCTGACCATCAAATGGCACACCAGTCACCAATCCAGTAAGGAAAAGAATTTCACGATATGCCACCAGTGCCAAAGGGTGGTAAGCATCCATGTATGCAGCTGTTTTTAGAGGAACAACTGTCGCTGTGGGCCCGTTGCACGCTGCAGCAGCTCGTCAGCATCACAAACCTCAAAAGAATATCCCTACAAGGCTGAATTGAAAGATTAAAGTCAAGTCAAACAATGCATTTTTGGCTTGTCTGCGCACAAACAGAAGAATGCATCTGCCACACAGGAAGCACGTGGTACACAACACCAGGTGCTGTGTGCAGGACGTGTGAGTTGCAGTGGCCATTCTGTGCAGGAATAAAAGAAAGTAACCCAGCAAGAACTAGAGCATTGAACCGGCAGTCTGGGAAGGAAGGGGGAACACTTGAATGCAAAGCAGAACTTGACATAGCCAAACAGAGGCAATAAACGCCTAACTATACCCGCAAAAGTACATAGGCTGTTGCGACACGGCATGGGCTACTTCAGGCCACGACATCCAGGACCTTCAGCAAGATCTGGTTCGCCATTGTACAGTCCAAGTCTGCAGTGGACGCGAACCCTCACCTTGATGTCGTCCTTGTTGACCTCGATTTCGAGCCGCAAAAGATAGGATTGGGCCAGACATATGGCCGATCCAGAGAAACCAACAGATACACCGATCTCGTACAGCACATCTTCCCTTGTGACAGAGATATATTTGGTCCCACCTTACAATGAGGCAAACAGCAAATGCTTCGTTCAGCAAGCAACAGTTTTGGCAATCGAGTACAATACATTCTTTAGTTTCTAGCTTTGCACATGTTTGTGGAGGTCATGTTCGAGACATTCTGTGCGAGGAATCGCACAATCATCGCTTTGTAAGTGCAACACAGAGCAAGTACTTTCCCACTTTCTACAAGTTTAATCCAAGTTTTCACACCAAGTAGGTGAAAGGCTGAACATTAAAAGGCATTTGATATAAACTGTCTTGCCAACCTAGTATAATTCATTCCTTTCCGTTTCTGGCTTTGCACATGTTTGCGGAGGTCGCGCTCGAGACAATCTGTGTGAGGAATCGCACACTGCTCGTTTCATAAGCGCAGCACAGAGCAAGTACTGTGCCACTTTCTAAAAGTTCAATCCAAATTCTCACACCAAGCAGGGAGAGGCTGAAAAACAAAGGCAGACAATATGGAAAAGACCAAAATCAAAACTTAGAAAAATGCAACAAGATGGGGAAGCAGCAAAACAGACCAAACAGCAGAAGCACAAGGGAAATGTAAGCAAACAGAGCAAAGCACTGCCCTTCAGCCTACCAGGCAGCTGCGCATGCGCCAGGTAAACATTTGCGCTCTGCATCTCCTTGTGAGTCTCTCGCCTCCAGGCCCTCTTCCTCTGCTCCAAGTTGTGTGCAAAGATGCGGGCCTCACCTGGCCCTGAAGCAAACCACCGCTGCGACATGGACATCATGGCGTGCTGATCCACATCACGCTTGGCGGTGGAGGGAGGTGGGCTGGAGGTGAGCTCCAGAATCTCTGTGCAAGCCAGGTTGCAGTTGCTGCTGCAGCTGGTGCCAGACATCGTGGCCCGGACCCCTTTACCTGCGAGGGCCCTGGGGTCGTTCGGCACCTGTGGAGTCCATGTGTGGAAGTGAACAAGACCACTGAAACAAACGCCATGTTATGCAAATATGACTGCCATAGCCTTGCTGACTCATGGCGGTCTTTGTCAAATCTTGGCATGTGCGATCATCCAATCAAACCGGCCATCTCACCTGCTGGCTTGAGGGATCTGGGCACTGCCGCGCCTCCGAGAGTCTTTCCTCACTGCAGTACAGGATCGGGTCAGAATTCCCAAAGTAGTCCCGTGCTAGGTGATTGACATCGTCCCACAGCCGGTTCTCTGCCTCCCTGGAGTCCAACAAGCACATGTCGCTGTGCAGCCTGGGGCCTTCAGAGGGGCGGGAGGGCAAATGCCCCTGCAGGTGGCAGCCACTCTGAAACGTGTCGTAATCATCGCAACCCTTGGACTTGCTGCTGTACAGCACTTTCGCAGTGCCATGCTGGGGAGCGACCAACATGTCAGGAAGGATGTCGACCACTGAATGCCCAAACTCAGGTGCCGTGGCAGGCCCTGAAGGTTGCCACATCTCAGTAAGATTCAGGTCGCAAGCGCGCCAGTTGCAGGGGCCAATTCCCTGGGATTGTGGCGGCTCATTGTAGCGTCTTGCCTCTGCAGAGATGCCAAACTCGCTGTACAGGGCAGCTGCATCCCCGCTGGGTCCCACGTCGAGCGCAGCAGCCCAGTGGTCATCCAGTGCATCCATGGCAGTGTGGTCCGTGCTGGTGGGATCCGGAGGCACTTTGTCGGCGCGCCTCCTGGCAAACCTTGAGCGCACTGTGGGCGCATGTTTTGCTGGCTGGGCCTGCTCATCAAGCGGCAGGCAGGGACGCATCCCCCGATACTCACTGGCACAGGGTTGTTGTTCGGCCAGGACAGGCCACCTGCATCCCTTTTCACTACCCCTGCAGGCACTGCTGCAGCCAGGTGTTGGATGGCAAGCTGACCCCGGCCTATAGCTACACATATGCGAACAATTGGCAACTGCGCAATGCAGCAGATCTCGCACATCCAGCACAGGCTGACTGCCCTCAAGCTGACGCTTCTTTTGCTTGCCAGATGGAGGACAACCCCTGCTGTCCCGAAGGCCTTCGCTTCTGTACATTATGTGGCCCTGGGGGATGCGGACTGCCCGATGCATGGGCACAGATACGTTCAGGTGCTCGTGGTGATGCTGAGATGATCGGGTGGCTGCTGCACTGCTGGGTGCATGTGAAGCTGCAAGCACCACCTCCAGATTGAGCTGGAAGCCGTTGAGCGACCTGTTGTCCCGATCATTGCCTTGACCCTTGTCTCCCTCCATCCCTGATCCTTCACGTGCACTGTAAGTATAGCAACTCAGAATGGCACAAAAGCCCCAGCAACTGCAGTTCTGTACATGTTCTTCAACCTTGACTAACTTACATGCACTCTTTAAATTTTTCCATGAGGAAATTCTTGCTTCTTCAGACTTTTCGACTTGAAACTTGTAAACACAGAGCTGTGTTGGCAGCTCTTTGCTAGGGCGTCCAATGGCACCCTTGTTGAAGGCAACAACAGAAATATAGGAGGGCGGGGGGGCATGGCAGTTTGGAGCAGCCTCATTAGTATGCTGAAAAGCAGAGTGCCCACAAGGCAACTATTCCTATTTTTCAGATCTAGGAAATCCATGTTTACGCCATTTCTTTTGCTTTCAGGTCAAATGGCAAGTTCTCTGTTGCTCTGAAGACTGCAGGACTGAATCCCCAAGAGACTACACTAGGACAAATTGTATGCTGCTCTCATATGGCCATCGGAACACAGTGACCAAGAAGCACTGTCAATTCTGTGGGGGCCTGGCCAAATGCCCCAAAGTAAAATCAGGAAGACAAAACAACCACCCCGTCCACAGGCCAGCGCACAGGTCAGAGCTGGGCTGCCAATGTACAACGCCTAACATTGGTCCCAATTCAAGCAGTTTGAATCGGCTAGGTACAATGCTCGCCCTTGTGCAAACCACTGTGCAAACTGAAGAAACAAAAGTGATGCACAGATGCTCCCCACAACATCTCAGTGCAATCTAACCCTGATCAACAACCCGTCCTTCTGTGCACGGGCGGGCAGAAAACACATGGCAGGACTTGTCACCTTCTTGGAGTGTGTCGTTTACCTACAACTGCTTTGTGCCGGCATGAAAACAGAGCCACTGTGGGATTGCTGGAGCCCTGCCATCATCAAGATTCGAGTTGACGTTCGTTCCTTCACCCAATTTGACCCCACTCCTCAGAATAAGAAATCAGCCGCACGCACATTCAGCCCCGTGCCCCTCTGCGCAATCTAGCGCTGCCGACGACGAGAACCACAAAGATTCCCATTCATGGAAAGCAACTGAACATCCGTGCCTCGTACGCCAGATCGAACGCGGCACACTCCGGCCATCCCCACGCGCTCCGCACTTGGGGCTCCGGATGTGGGTGCTTTTGCCGAACCCCCTCTGGACATCTAATCGCGGCAGCACATCCACAAAATGGCGCTGACGTCTCTACCGGGTCCCCTGGCTCAGACGTCCCGCCCTCCCCGCTCCATCCAACACCGACACGGGGGTCCCGAATCTGCCACATCGCCCTTCCGGCAACCGGCACCTCCCGGACCCCTTCCTGCACGGCGAGGCATCCCAGCGGCCCCGCGCAGCGGAGGGGCCCTTTCCCACGTGCCGCTGGACGGCGCCCCGGCCCTGACGTTCTTCAGCGCCATTGCCCCGCCTCCCCAGTCCCCGCATGACACCCATCCGCACGTCGCAGAACGAGCGCCAAGGCGCGCAGTTCAAAACACTGCGAGCCCTGCGCCAAGGCAGCACGGCTGGGGCTCGAATCCGCGCCCCGCCACCGCACCTCGGTATCGGAACCACGACGTCGCGCGCATGAGATCGGGCGCGCGTCGATGGCCAGCCAGCCCACCGTGGGCGCCATCCCGCCACCAAAACCACCGCCGCGAGATTTCAGGCGGCGGGGCCCAGGTGATCCGAACCTGACAGGTCTCGCGCAAGCGCCCGCCTGGAAAAATTCTCCCTCCACGTCTCTCGGGCGCCTCACGTTCTGCCGCGCGACTGGGCGCAGAGATCGCGGCCCGCCCTCCCCGGCCCTCCAGCCTCCGCCGCCGCCGATCCCCGCGCGCGCCAGCTCTCCCGACACGCGGTCCGGCGGCCGTGGCGGACGCCTAGCGGGGAACACGGACGGCGCGAAAAGCGGGCCGCCCGATTCCCTTTTGTGGGAGGCAGGAATGCCGACGACGCACCGCCGTCAACGGCGGGCTCCCGTGCGGGCCGCAGGGTAGGACCTAAGCGGGCCGGCCACGCTGACTAAACCCCCGCCCACCAGGCAAGCCATATCCGCTGTGCTGACGACGAGGCGCCCTGGCCGCCCCAGCCCCAGGCCCGGCCGCCGCGCGGAGTTCCCCCGGCGACCGCCTCGGCGCGCACCCGTGCCACCCGCGCCGACGCTCCGCCGTGCGCGAGCCGTGGAGGCCGAAATTTTTTAAAGTCGCAGGGCCCAGCGCGGGCGCGCCCGGGATCCCGCCCCCAGGCCGGGCGCCCGCGCGGGGCACGGGACCCGCGCCCGGCGTCGTCCCGGGATGAGATCCTCGCATTTTTGGACAGCTCAGCGTGCCAGCCCCGTGTGGATTGCTCCGGAACATCGCCCCGGCCTCCGTGGGCGCGGCCGCGCCCCTACGAGCAGAAAAGCACCTCCCGCCCTCCGCCGGGCGCGACGACGAGATCGCGACGACGCGCCGCATTCGATTGTCCCTCCGTGCGGTTCTCCCGCCGTCCGCTCACCGGAGGGTTGGGTCGGTGGGTCCGGCCCTGGTCCAGCCGGGCAGGCCCTCCCCCGCCGCAGGCCCTCGAGGGCGTCGGCCCGGCAGATTCGACCCCGGCGGATTCAATACCGGCCCCTTTCTGACGATTCGATAGTCGGGGGGGGATCGCGAGCCGCCCACCGCGGCGCCGGGAGCCTTCCCTCTCAGCTCTGGGGCCGACCAGGCCAACGGGCGCGAGTCGTGGCACTGACGGACTGCCATCGCCGTACCTCCCCCTTTGACGACTCCGCGGTGCGTCAAGCCGGTTTGAGGGGCCGGCGCGCTAATTAGGACACATTAGGGGCAAGCCCTTCCGCAAATTGGCGGCCCTGTACATTGGGTTGAGGGTCGGGTGCCCGCAAACTACCGCGAGCAGGATACGGGCAACTCTGGGCCTGCGGCGCTGGCGGTGGCCGGGTTCCACAGTCGCGGGCCCAGGGGAGAATCTGCGGCACACCGGCCGGACGGGTTTGCTGTTCCAATGGCAAGCGGTGAAATGCGGCCGGGGGGTGTGTGAGGTGCCAATGTACTCGGCACCCGGGAGGGGGGGAGGCGCGCAGCCCGTCACAAGCGCGATGTGCCGGGCCCGGCGCCGGACCCCACCGCAGCCGCGCCGGTGTCCAGCGGGAGTCTGCCGGGGCGACTGCGATGTGGTGACTTCCTACAGTTTTCCATACGACAACAATGGGGGTGCGTGTACCACGCGCATCCCTTTGACTAAAGGACGCCGCTGCTCGCCTTTCTAGGTCCAGGAATTCTCGTTGTGCCATTCGCTTGGTGTTCCGCTCTCCCGGGTAAGCCGACTGCAATGTTTGGAATACAACGCATTCCTTGGCCGTGCTGCGTTGGCGCTGTATGCTACACGGGGTGCAGCTATGTTGCATTGCTTGCTTGTCGTGGATCTCCCGCCACTATGCGTGAGGCCACACTGGGCATGAAGGGACTCGCTGCGGTGAAGTGCCTCGTTAACACGTAACAAACGCCTGGGCCTAGCGCAATAGACGCCGCTGCCCATGGTGTGGGCACGTACCATGCTAGTGCATGACTTGCCACGGGTGGCGATTGTCATCAATAATGCTTGTACACTGTCCATGGCATGTTTTATTTCAAGGAAGCAAAGGTGGAGTTTTGGTCGATGACCAGAAACGTGCGGCAAACTTCTCAGGATCCCAGATCGCCTCGCAATTCCGTGCAGTAAAGTCTGAAGTTGAAATGCAGCGTTTCCAAAACAGTATGCCCTACTGTTAATTTCAAAGCGGAAATTCATCAACACTTGTGACAGTGCAGCGTTGCACTGGGGCGCCCGGCACCGTCGGCTAAATATCTGTCCTTATCATTTGCAAAGCCTTCAGCCACGGAAAGCCTGTTATCACGTGGTGTTAACTGCCATGGTCTGCTTGACAGCGTTCAACAGCTAATAGCCTATACGAGAGTCACATCAATCATACCGATATCAACACTGTAGGTTACAGCTGCTGTAATACAGCACCGGCTTGGCGACCATCCTGTTTGAAAAGGCTTTCTTGTTTCCGATTTCCAATCCAAATCGCCACAAAGCTCGTCGACGGTCTGGTGAGCTTCCAGCGACGACCACATCCTTTCTTTCTTTCCAGCTGGTGAGCGAGAGAGTAGAACTGGACATGCCATTCATCCCCGCCACCCAACGAAGAACATCTCCGGTCACAAGTGGGATGCAAAATGCGTTACCAGTGAGACAGAACGTCTTTGCGGAATGTACACCTCACGTTCTCGACTTTGGAAAGGATCAGCCCGACGCCACCAGCGTCCAGCCTGGCCAGCATCATTGATGAACACGTTCGCAGCCTTAAAATTGAGTTCACTGTCAGTCTTCACGCCTCACGGTCAGAGGATTGTTCCTCTGCATACCAAAAGGAAGGAAAGGTCTGCGCCATGCATGTCGAAGTTCGACCGGCAGACTGAGCTACGAGGCACCGAAAGCGCAAGGGCTGATCCGCTCTCCATCGATGCACTGCGATGGGGCGCATCTCTCAGATGCGGCATCGACAGATTCGATTCTCAGCCAAGCCTCAGTCCAAGCCCGGGATGAAGATCGGCCGACAAGATGGGCATTCCATCCAGCATGCTTGCGCGTGGGACACCCGCCCTCTCATCATGGTCCCAATGACGAACGCTATCACGGCACTGGCAGAGACTGATAAGCCGCGCTCAACCAAAACAGTCCCAAGCACTCCATCGACGCATTTCAGGGTACTGCAGGCGATCTCTGCTGAAGCGTCAAGTGACAAGAGTCTTCACCGTTTGACCGCCGCTGCGATCTTGGGCGTCTTTGTGCGATGCACGGGGTACCTTGGCTGACTGACACCAGTCACCGTGGCCACCTTGCCCCGCTGCCACGCCTGAACATGGCCGCCGAGCCAATCGGGGCGCGCCATACCGCCGCATCGTGCGCTCAGCGCTTCATGCCTCAGGAAGCTCTCATGAAGCCGACTGACTAGCGAATCAAATCCTGCAAAAAATCCCTGTCAGTCTATGCGTTGCCGCTGCACCCACGCGAGACACCAGAGGTCAAAATGTGTCGTACAAAAGATCTACTGTGCGTCCCCCGCCCCCAACCCCCCACCCCTAGCGCTCCGAGCACCACACCAATCCAATTAAGATTGCCCAGCATCGCCAAGGGCGCATTTCGCGCTTAGCGAAATGCGTCTTCAACGCGCACAAGCCACGCTCTGCACATTCGCCACGGACGCACAGATCGACAAAATCTTGCCACTGCGGGGATTCGCAACATTCTCAGGCGCCCTCGGGCGCTGCCGCCGTCCCCAGGGCCACCCCGTCGACATCCTCATCCTCCTCCATCCTCATCAAGCCGTCCTTCATTCGATTGAAGCCGTAGCCCATGCTGTAGCCCGTCTCCTTGGCAAGCGTCTCCAGCTCCGAAAGGTGGCCTCGTCGGAATGTGTCAATGGCTACGGCCACCTCCTCGGGGGAGGCATCCGTCTGGGCATTGTGCAGACACCAGAGGACGTCAGGCACCGGTGGGAGGTGGCCAATTGGATATGGCCCCTTGTTAATGCAGTGTAAATGGCCGGGACATGAGCTACAAATTTTCACAGCAATGTGTTTTCAAGCAGTTGCTTGCCGGCGAGTCTGGGGGCACCTACATCTGATTAGCTGTTCGACGAATGATGCATTGAAAATGTGTGGAAAGGGATCGTAGAATTTACAAATCGATGAAGTTGAGAAGGTGCGTGTCCCTCCTTCTGCTACATTAGCTTTTGCAGTACTTTGAAACGCAAAGACAAAACAACGGGCTTCCTGGAAGGGAAGCAACAAGGAGTACCATCAAATGGCGCCGCTCCATGTGATCCCATGCCAGTACACATGGATCAGACATCTGAGGGGCGGGTTTCTGCGAATCGGGGCACAAAACTGGAGACAGTAGCAGCACCGAAATTGTGTGTGGTTAGTAACCTGGTTCAGCACGGAAGCGGCAAGCTGCAGGCTAGGCTCCAAGGTCTCAGGCACCACAACGGACGCTCCAGCTTTCTCCAGATTTCTTGCATGGTCCACGTCCCGCGCCCGGACGTAGACTGGAACGTGGGGGAAATGGCGGCTGGCGGCCCATACACACCGGTAATTGGCACCTGGAATACAGAAAAGCACACCACATAATTTACAGCAGCCACCTTTTATTCGAAAAGCTGCAGGTGCTGCTCTCACGCGCCTTGTGGGACTGGAGTCCTTGCTCGGATTTCCAGGTTTTCTGTGTGCACTGAGCAAGCACGCAGCCATTCCGAAACAAGTGCCCTCCATGGGAATTTATCCGCTGTCGCCTGAGAACGTGCAGAAACAGGTCCTCGTCACATTTAGATAGATTCAATCAAAATGTGTTAATTCCAAATGTGTTCTCAACTGCAATCAATTCGCTGTGCTGTGCGTCACGGATAGTAATCGTTTCCTGAGCCTGCTGGAACCATCCGCAATGATAACATATTATGTGCAGAGTTGCGGATTGTAGCACAACATCCTATTACTCACCAGGGCTGTCCAGAGCCACCACAATGCATTTGGCGTTCTTCGCTCCAACGCTCTGTAGCACCGCCTGACTTCCAGCATCACCGAAGTAGATGGGGAGATCCAAGGCTTTGCCGTTCTGAGAGAATGGCAAGAAGGACAAGAACACAGCAAGAACGTCAAGCAAGGCACTGTCAACCCGTTGCAACCATCGCAAAACCCCAACCGCATGTACCAAACCATTCTGTTATTGCTGGATTCAGATTTAAACTTGTTCGATAATGGTCCTTTTGAGCAGGGAGTATGGGCAGCAGCTGGTCAGCTTTTGATGATGCTATCAGCAGCTGCTTGAAACAACAGATATCCAGTTGACATGCCATACACATAGCGTGACAGATACAAATGAATATTTGCCAACCAGCTCATATGCAAATGCTCAGGATCATACATCGTTGGAGACGATCATTTTCCCAGCATTTGTAGAATATACAGCACAGGAGCTCTGAGGCCATGCACATTATATCCAGCTTCCAACAGTATGCCATTGGATATCACTGGCACAACCCCCTATCACAAAGTTCGAATGCAGCACTTCTGGTTATCTGAACTCACATGCCCACAGTGACACCTTTGGTTGTGCTGCTGTTGGTGTGCATGGATATCAGCACCCACAGAGAGGCATAAGGACAGCTCCACTGGCAACACTCTTGCACAGTACTTCTTCATTAACATGCACTTGAAGCGCATCAAGAATTGGCCACTGGGAGGATAGGCTGTGCAGTTTGCCAGCAGTTCATTCATCCAACAAACATAAATAAGTAATAACAAAATGGAAAGAGGTGAAATGCAAAGGTGTCAGCCCAGAACAAATCGTCCTTTGCATGGTTTTCGAAACCTGCAGACGTTACAGAACATTCATGTCATCAGATGTCGCCCCTTGTAGATGTAGCTGCCATCTCAGACATTGGCACATCAACACACTAGTCATATGTTGTCTACATCGTCCAGGTATCGGCACATGTGTCCAACATACCCAATCGCGTGTTAATCCTGGAACAACGGCAAGCCATCCCAAGAGCAAATGGACACAAGCTTGGGAACAACAAACCTGGACTCTGTCGCTCTGTACGTCAAGTGCAACAAATGGAATCAGCCGTTCGCTCAGGAGACGAGCAACAAGCGAGCCCACACGACCGAAGCCGGCAATAATGACGTGGTCCTTCTGGCTGCCACTGTCGCCGCTCCTGGGCTGGAGTGCCTTGGTGATTGGACAGAGCCACAGAGCAGATCAATGCAATGGGAAAGAAGCCCAGAGTCAAATGTTCAAGAGCGCCTCTTCTAGATAAGACCAGTTCCGAACCCAATTTCCATCAAACTTTCACAATATGCAAAACACGTTGATGTCCAACAAAGCCGATCAGTTTGACAACCCAGGGCCACAGGGAACAGAAGTGAAACAGAGTGATGCATAATAGGCTCATCTATCGGGTGCGATGAGCCCCACAACAAGCCATCTGACAAACAAACTACTCCTCGTGACTTTAAAAGAATTGATGCTGTCTTGGGAGCTGACCCTGCTGACACAAGAACTTTCTAATTGACCACACCAGGCCATCTTGAGGGGTACTGCCAGAACTGAACCACCGCAGATGCTCTGAAGAGCACTGGGGCATGATGCTGGTGCATTCAAAACACCCTGTAAGCTGCCTGACAAACAATAGATTGCATGTCCGTTCGAAGAGCAGCTATAAAACATGTGGCCGGGATATAGACACACAACCTTCCAAGTCTTGCAACTCACCCTCACGTCACCCTTCTCAAACAAGGAGCCCAGTTTCTCACCCAGAATGGCAAGGTACGGGAGAAGGGCCATGCTGAGTGCCACCACCAAGTAGATCTGGTTTACGAGGGGCAGTGGCAAGATACCCTGTCCAAGGCCAGTGCAAACTGAGAGCAGTCCACAACTGTGAAGAAGATGCTGGCAATGGTTTGGGGACACCACGTGGACAAGAGTTAGGTTGCATTGCTTTAGTGGCACTATGCTTTGCAGGCGCCAAGGAGAAAGCCAATAAGACATGTAACTGATGCCATAGGGAGTTGAAGCACAGTGGAACATCCTCACAGGGGCACACTGTGCTGCTGCTCTGCTTATGATCTATGCACCAACCAAAACTTCGACATGTGAGAGAATATTCAAAACAGCAGGTAGGCCAACTTTCACTTCGTCATCAGAAGTGTTCCTTTGCATCAACCAGAAGTGTGCTCAATTGCTTACCAGACACACAAGCTGGCAAGTACAACATGTCAGTTGCCTGTGCACAGAAGTCTTCCATGCAGCTGGAGCCAGACATGCTATCATCAAACACATGTACAGCCATTCACGACACCAACTCTCCACAGCAAATTTGCACGAGATGTTTCCCATCGAATACGTTGATACTGGGGCACAGGGAGACATGTCCAGTGCCATCAACACTTTGCTGCAGGTGTGGGGCCAGCCACTGATGGTGCTGCTCAGGGACCTTCAAACTACATCCTGATGGGAAATATTGAATTTCTTCTGTGCATTGGATGGCAGCAAAGTGGAGCCCTGCGCATGCATCTAACTAAACTCTCCTGCTCATAGAGGCTCATCGACCACTTGCAGAGTCAATTATGCTGCTCACTGGCTGTTTCTCCACTGACTGTGCAGCCAGACGACGCATGGTCTCCACAGCATTGAAAGGAGTATTGCGACATCTCGTCCAAAAGAAGGATGCATACATGGCATACACGTCTTTTCAACGACATCACCACAATCGACTACAAACTGAATTCTATGCTTTGCAGAAACAATTTTCACACCTGGACTTCTGCTTCTCCCACAGTAACGAATGCAAACTCGCCACCTGCAGCCAGGTACAGTCCAGACCGGATGGCCGTCAGGCGAGAGAGCCCAAACAGGGGCCCAACAGTGGCCATAATTGCCACCTTCCCAGCCAGCAGGATCGTTAATGACAGCAACACCGACTTCCACTGTGCGAAAAGCATTCCCAAGTCGATCTCCATGCCGACTGCCATGAAGAACAAGCCCATCAGCAGCCCCTTGTAGGGAGCAATGTCAGACTCAACCTGTCCAGCAGGCATCAAGTCAATAGAACAGAATTCAATGGAAGGCACAAACAGAATTGGAATAAACAGAATTCGTTTGTAGTGCACTTGAAGACAAAACCCCACAAGAAATAAAAGCGGCAGGCTGGCATCAGGCACAGATTGTTGCATTCTTTCTGGACTCTGTGATTATGGAAAGGGCAGTGTAATCATGGTATATGACACTGCTTGTAACAAGAACCGCTTGAATGCATTGGTTCAAAACCGACCGAACCTGGCCCTTGCACTTTGCAGGCGATAATGGGAACAACTGCATGCTACAGAATGTCCCCAAAATCCTTGTTTACATCCACGCTGCTGCATACAAATGGAAAAACAGAAGAGAGAGGGTGTTGTGCAGACCCAGGGATGATATTTTCAAACAGGTGGCACTACGCACAGCAGTATATACCACACACTACAATATCGCACAACAGATTTCCTTGCGATGAAGGTGCATGTTGGCTAGAATACCAGGGATGTGACCCAATTCCTCCCACAAACTCATAATCTTATGGCAGCTTTTCGGTCGTCTGCCCTAAACACTGTTCAGAACATTTCACTCAAAGTTCTTTTCTGCAAATGGTAGCGGCTCTGCAAAGCACACAGGGCAAATAAAAAGGAATCTTGCGCTTCCTCACCTGCAGCACATACTCTGTCTCTGCCAACAGCAGGCCAGCTAGAAATGCCCCCAAAGCGAGCGACAAGCCTGACACTTCAGTGAGCTTGCTTGCTCCCAAGACAACAAGCAAGGTCAGAGCGGCAAAGATTTCCTTGTTCTCAAAACCTGCGATCGCCCTGTAGATGGGTCTCAACAGCACACGGCCAAAAACTATCATTCCCGTTATGCAGATAGCGGCCTTGACAGCTGCTGTTCCAAGGATCTTGAGGATTGGCTGCAACCCCCCTGCCATAGCCCCGTTCTTTGGCGCCAACAATGGGATCATGATGAGGACAACGACAACAGCCAGATCTTGCAGGAGGAGAACAGAGAATGTGGCCCTCCCATGCCTTGCGCCATTTTCACCGCGATCCTGTAACACCTGCATGGCAGGGAGGCAGCAGTTGTCTTCACAGTGAAGCCAGCCAAGTTGGGGAGCAGAGTCAGGTCAAAAACAGCAACCAACACTGAACTCCAACTCCAGTCAACCTGAATCTTTCCTCACAACGTCCAAAATGCATCAGCAACCGTGGGTAGACATTCCACGAAATGCATTGAATCCAACGCTCAAAAGTGAAGCTGGATAAAATTTACATAAATGGCAAGATTGTGAAAGTATGAGGATCTAAACACCATGGAAATGAAAACAGCAACAGTGAATTCTAGATTCCGGATGGCTCCCCACCTGCATCGCCACAGCTGTTGTTGACAGAGCCAGTGCACAGCCGATAACTATTGCTGCAGGCCCCGACACTCCCGTTATACCAGCCGCTGTGAAGGCCACAGCGAAAATTGTGATGAGCACCTGGGCATTTCCAAGCCCAAAGACCAGTTTCGCCATAGACCTCAGCCTCTCCAGACTGAGCTCAAGGCCGATGTTGAAGAGAAGGAAAACGACGCCCAGCTCTGCCAGCATATGCACACCCTCCATGTCCTTGACGATCCCCAGTGCATTGGGGCCCACAATGCAACCAGCTATCTGCCACGACAGTTGAACAAGCTTCCAGTAAACTGAGCTGCACCTTCCCTCCATTTAGGAAAGACAAAGGCACTTGACAACAGTCAGCAACACCATTCAGCACTTGCAAAACAGTGGAATAGTAGATTGCCACATACCAGAAATCCCAAGACAGGCGTCCCTCCAGGAATGCCTTTCAGGACGAGTGGGACCATGACTACGCTCATCAACAGCAGCCATATAGTTTGGAGGAAGCCCTCCGCACCCCTGATGCAGGAAACCAGGTTGTCAATGACCATCATCTCTTCAGAGGACGACACCAACATGGTATATCAGTGAATTTAAGCGCACACAGCACAACACCACTGGAACATGATGCGCAATGTGTTTAACAGTGGACATCATTGTTTTGTGAGAACAGGTTCAACAACTTTGAAATAAGCCAGTTGGACAATTCTTCCAGAATGAAGCAAATACTCACAATCACCATGCCCCATTGTTGGTTATTGAACATGCTCAGGCAGAAACGATACTTCCTTCAACTGAAATTGACCACATCGCTTACCAAAGTGAACAGATGTTCAACATCCAAGAGGCACAAACAGCCATTCAACTGTACTCACGCATGTGATGAGGGAATGATGTAGTGCCAGAAGTCAGCAAGGTGATGTGACAATTTGCTGAAGAAGTGGCCTGCAGAGCTCAACAGAGTCTTTCCAGCAGGTGACTGAAGGAAGACAATTGAAGCTGCTGTGGCGAGCAGCATGGCTCCCACAGCCTTGCCATACTTCTTTAAAAAAAGTGCAACAGGCTGCATGACAGAGTGTTCAGCTGCCAGACTGTCCTTTTTCTTGTCCTTCTTTTGAGCTGGAGGGGTAGAAGGAACTTCGGCGCGTGGCATCAGAACAGCCACACCTCCCTTCAAACAGCACACAGGAGTGAGTCCCACCAGTTGTTATACCACTTTGACTATCCTGAATGCCAATACTCACACAGGAGCTGCCTGCTCATTCTGGCACAAAGGTGACACAAATGCATACATACTGGAGGAATGTCCTCATCCCATTCTCTTCCATATAAAACGAAAGTGCCAGGTGATCCAGCATTGCTGATGGACTATGCTGCACACAGTAAAACAACCACCCAAGAGGAGTAGCTCAACGTCCAACAAAACGGCCAAATAGCAGGCACCGGGGGCTGATTTGTCTTGACTGACCTCTGCATCTCCAATGGTCTTTGCCTTTTCGGATGGCTCATCTTTCTCAACCACTTTAACGACCTCCTCCTCTTCCTCTACTTCTTCATCGCTGCTTGCAACAGAGACAATCACAATATGTAACAAATCCAAAGCTATGTTTTCAAAAACATGGAACGCTGCTGCTTACACTATGTGGTAATCGCACTTCTTGTTCTTTCTTTGTCTGGGGATGACAAAGGAGTTGCGGTGCAGTTTGGGCCAGCACTGTGAGGTCTAGATAGTCAGCTAGCAAATAACTGCAGATGACCACTGTGTGCAGCAGAGAAACGTGCATGGCCAGTGTGTTGTGGGGTGGGGAGGTAAAAGCCATGACACCGCTGTGGCTTTCATTTTGGCTCCTGTTGCATGCAAAGTGACACCCAGTACAAAGCACCACTACGATTTTCTATCCAATAACAAACAGAGCAAAGTAGGGTTATCCACTTTCAGATAACTGATGGTGCACCACTGACACCGCTGCAACCACCTGGTGGTTTGTGAATTTCTTGCCAGATAAGCACCCATCATCGCAACTGAATACCCACAAACCCACTCCACCAATCAACGAGAACAGCAGTTTATCATCAAGTGCGAAGCACCAGTGGCCAGCCAAGTCGGCACCCACTCGTCAAAATCTTGTGTGGACAGCAGTGCTTCTGTATCGTCCATGGCTTTGTCGAGAGCAAGCTCTGTTTCCTTCAACACTGCCTTGGCTTCCAATTCATTTGTGACAGCTGTTGCACATGCAGTCATGACCGCAGATGCCCTTTCTTCGAACACCGTTGCCTCCAGCTCAGCAGCAAGTGCATTTTCCCTCAAGTCTTTTATCTGGCAGATGAGTGTGCTGTGTCAACGAATATCTTTGCATGTTATCAGCATCCAGACTTGGCAGCAAGGGAGTGGGCTGATCATGAACATGCAAGTGCTCCTTGCCTGCATCACTCGTCCAAATCCCTAGAAGCTGTCATTATTGCAGCTAATAATATACATTTGTCTGCATTGTCCAGATGAATGTGCAGTACTTGACTTGTGCCAAACCATTGGCCAGAGCAACAAATCGGCAGCTACATCGTGTGGAAGGCAAAAGTTGTGATATTGCACGCACTCTGCAAGGAGCACAGATAATGAAGAACAAGGCATCCATTGCACGCACATATTGTGTTTTACAACCCACTTTGGTGATGTAGCTATTTGCAAGCATCTGAATGACCAGAACCAATATGGGTGGTCACTCAGCCATGCTTCGTTTTGCTCGCTGGATGATGCACCTAAGGCGATGAGATTGTCCGATCAAGGCTGCTCACTGATAGAATGCAGGGAATGTAGTGCAATCCTTCTTGAATACAATGTGATAGTGACGACATGCTCTTTGGCAAAAGAAAACAAAAAGAAAATAAAACAAGACAAAGAAAGAAAGAAAGAAAAATAGAACAAAACAAACAAAATAAAGAAATTAACCAAAAATAATATAAATAACAAACCAAACAAAGAAAATAGGTAGACAGTCGACAACCAATCCCAGCACAACGGGGTACTAGTGGCCGAACACAGGTCCGTGATCACCTTTGATTCTTGTTCCTCTTGCAAGCTCCGAAGCTTTGCTATTCTGTTGGAGGCAGTCTCAATGTCGATCCTCACGATCTTGAGTTCTTCATTCAAATCAGCGGATGCCTGCAAGCTTGCCGCCACATCCTCAGCTTCCGCACTCTCATCATACTCAGAAATCCATTCGGCAGAGGACAAGTTCAGACCGCCCTCCAAACGGGACACAGCTTCTTCCCTGCCATCAGATAAAGCCGGTGACAAGAGTATTTGTCAACTCCATGTTATACACCTTGCAAACTTCACCCTGGGGGATGACCACTGACTTCAGCATATGCAGCGATTCAATGAGCAATGGTGATGAAATGCTGGCAAGCGACCACATGGCTGCATACAATAGCACATTCTCTTTCATGATGCGATTTGGCTGCACTCCCACACAGCTAATGAGAGATGTAGACCTCGGCACAAGCCACATTAATGCAACCACTTGTTGACACGGATGTTGCTTCAAATCGTGCTAATGTCAGCACGTGCATCTTCAAAAAACGTGCATCACGTGCATCAAATTTGCAGTCCTTGCCAACACCATGCCAATGTATCAATGAACCACCCAAGATCAACTCTCAAGCAAGGAAAACACAACAATTGCATGCACTCACCCATCGATTTGTGCATCATCTGCTTCCACTTCCTTCACCTTCTTTATCTCCAGTATCCTGGCATCGAGTTGCTCTTTCCTCTCCTCTAGATCCTGTATCTCTATAGCAAATGCCTTTTTCTCTGACATGGCCTCTTCCAGCTTCTTGCTGCTCCGCTTGAATGCATCCCGTGCTTCAACAGCGAGTTCTGCAACACCTTGGGCCTGTGTCGCACACAAGCGCACACTTGCATGCGTCTTTCTTGTCAAGGAATTCTGGACAAAACAGTAGTGTGCCACCAGCCAGCAATATCACATGCTCATATTACACTCAAAAGTGCATGTACTCATCCCTAGCCAACAGCAAGCATCCTGAACCACCTGCTTCTCAGTTTTAGCACCCATGCCAGTTGCTAAAAACCATACAGTCTGTACATTCCTGTAGTCTGGTGTGTACAGCTGTGTACAGCTATGTTGGGCAACTCATGCACACTTGCCACACATGCCTACAGCTCCACTCTGAGCACAATCATGCCACCCATTACCTTGCGGGTGCAGGACATTGTTTGCCATTTTGGGGCGAAGCAATCAAACACAATGGCCTGATCACAGCCCGATGTGGCAGCCCACAAATCACTGGCTTGCTGCACCATATCTGCCAACTCAGCATGTCGTGGTAGGTGGTTGTTTCAGGGTTCAAGGCACTTGCTCGTTGAAATCAGGAATCTGGTAAAGAATATCTGTTGGTAACCAAGATGCAAGGTTTCACAGCCTACCTCAGCTTCTAAGGCTTCCCTCTTGAAGGATGAGCTCAACGCCAGTGCTTTTGCCCTGTCAAGAGCTTCTTTAAGGGGAACCAGATTTTCGTCCTCTGAGTCAGAGGACTCAATCTCTGGAACCTGCCCAGAACATGACACTGTGAGACCTGCATTCGGACAACAGGAGCCCATACATCTCTAGGGCACCCAAACTGTATTAATTCGTTGCCTACTCATCCATTGAGCAGTGTACGAACATCCCACAGCATCATGCCACCAACTGAAAATGCCATGAGATTGCTGATCAGTCGTTCTCTGCCTCATGTGCAAAGCCAATCAACACTAAGCATTGATAAAATTCCCCTGTGTGGTCAGATTCAGATGCACAACAGCCGCACCTTGACTTTTAATGCATTGCCATATTTGAAAACACGAAAACGGCTGCAGTGCAATGAACGGCAGGGTACAGCTCAGGTAGGCTTGATCAGATAAGTGACTTCCAGGTGATTCCCACAGTGGAAGTCCTTGATTCCTTTACCTCTTCCAATATGGCTTCAACTTCGCCTTCAACCTCTTCCAACACCACACCATCATCTTCAGCACAAAGTTGCTGCCTGCAATGCATGTAATCTTGTCACATGTGACATGTCCTTGGAAAAACTGTACAAGTACACAAGGCATAACACACAATGCATAATTGCACGAGTCGCAAACAGCCAATGGATAATGAGTAGGTAGTACCAAAAGAAGCTTTCAAGTCCTTGTGAAGTACAGCTGCACCCTTTGTCCACATTGCCCTGATTCAGCAGCAAGCTGCAGAGAATGGAACCAATATCGACATTCTATAGCCCCTTCTACAGGAAGATAGATTTCCTTCATCCCTGTTCAGTGATACCAATTTTTTGTCTTTTATGTGAATGTCCCTGGTGACGAACTGTGGAATAAAGGGTAAAGAGCAGACACTGTGGATATGAGTGCACATACTGGCATTGCTATGGTGGGGAGGGTGCAGGATACATTGCAGAATTTCACCACCGACAGTATGCCAGCGGGAATGGAGCAGTGGGGAAGGGAACATGCAAAGCAAACATGACAGGAGTGCATTGCGTCAAGAAACGTGGGTTTGGGGATTCCGAGAGATGCACTTCGATCGACATTTCGGGTGCACAGTTGGAGTTCAGGGCACAGCCACGGTAGGAGTAAGTTGCTGAATGGGGTCCCGATCTCCCCGCAATGCCACGGGGAGCAGATTCGCATCAGCCGCATTAGCTTGGATTCCGACAGTCCCGCAGCGCAGCGCGCAGCTGCAGTTGGGTCGACGCCCCTTCACAGATCCCGACCATCCCCCACCATCCCACTTCTCCAATTCCGACCAGATCCACACCGAAGCGACCCTCTTAAAGTCCCTTTTCCCCTTTCTTCCCTTCACGCCCCACCAGCCGCACGCTCCCCTACCCATGCCGCCGCTCAACCCCCACGCACCTTGTCCGCCTGGCCCCGCGCAGTCCCACGCGCCACGGCCCCGCCGCCCGCCATCCCCCGGCCATTCGATCCGCCGACCGCCGGCACGCCGACGCCCTCCCCGGGAGCCGCGCCCTGCGCCCCTGGCCCGCCGCCATGCCGCGGAAGGCACAGCCGATCCGCCATCCGCGACGAACCCCCTGGGCGGACCCCATTGATCGATCTCCGCCCGCCCGCGGGCGCGCCGCGCCGGTCACGGCGCCGCTCGGCGGTCTCTGGGACAATAATTTGCGCTTTCCGGAGCGGTGCAGGGATTGGGTCCGCCGGGGCCGTCGGCAAACTTGGCTTGCCGGGCCTCGGGCGAACGCAAGGGGACCCAGCGACGGGTTCCGTCTGTGGTTCCCGCGCTGCGACAGTTGTAGACGGCAGTGATGGGGCTGAGGTGGCGGGGATTTCCGGGCGCCCGGGGCGATAATATCCGGGGAGGTGGTATATTTGTGGCACGTGGGAACGGCGGCGGGTTGTCATTGTCGCGTCAGATTCCCTCGGCGTTCGCGCACAGGAGGGGTTGGGGAAAGCTGGGACGGGGCTTTTTGAGGAACGTGTGGCCCGCCTTGTCGGTGTTCCGATACTACCCGACAAGCGCGCAGCTGACAGGTCGACGTGGTAGGTGGCAACACATCTGTGCCCCCCTTGTTGCTACCGAGGCAGTGATGAACAAAGAGGACAAAACCTGGACAGGCATCACGTAGGACATTCTGCGGTGCGTATGGCCAGCCTTGCGGGTGTTGTGCTGCCGCCCGACAAGCACAACTGAATAGTCGACATTGCAGGTTGGAAGTTCCTGGTAGGGACACATGTGTGGCCTTCTGGCGCGCAACTGGACTAATGGTGCTTAATAGGGACCCAACCGGGACATGCTTTGCGCCTCTTTAGCCGCACTGTTGGGAGCGCTTTCTATGCTTGTAGCGATGACTTATATTGTCCATGGAGATCCGTTGCATGTAGGCTAGGTTGACAATGTAACGACTTTTGATTCCAAGATTCCTTTTGCCAGTGCAACATTTGAAGCATTGAGTGGATCGAAGTCTTCATGTTGCTGGTGTACGGGCCTGTATGCGTAGCTTGGGCTTAGGCTTGTTGTTTGTGCCGTAAACACAGATCATATTTACGTTTTTACATGCAAAAATAGTTTTTATGTTTTTACACGTAAAAGGCGTAAAAATATGTAAATACAAAGTAAGTAAAGCTCCTTGTACATAAGGACAGTGCATTCAGCCTTTGGGTGTCCGGGGGGGAGCAGCCAGATGCGCTGTAATGGGCAGAAAACGAACTTTTGTTGCACGCCGTCGTGGTCCTTCCCGAGTGCGAAGTCGACGCTGTGTTGCGGCTGCTCGAGGAGGTGGAGGACTGACTATTGTGCGCGATTTTTATCGTGTTACCTCGGTGTCACAGCGAGCCATAAAAACGTAAATACAGCCGTAAAATTGGCTCCTTTGCAAATTTACGTTTTTAAGCGTAAAAACTTAAATGTAAAAATGCAAACGTAAACGTAAATAAAAAGCCTGCTTGGGCCAGTGGGGGGGCGAACTTGGGCAAGCTTGTATGAGATTACTTGTGAACGCTGATTTCCCTGTCTCTTTTGCAGAATTTTATATTTTTGTCGCCAAAAATGGAAATCCGAAAACACGTTTTTGCTAACCTCACAGGGAGGACCACCACATAGCCAACCGAGGTTCAGCCGCTGCTTCAGAGAGTACAACATGTCGTAACCCCTGAGTGTTTCCAAGTACGGCAAGCATGCATGCTTGCCGACGGGTAAAAAAACACTAAGCAGACAGGACGGGCGAATGAGCAAATGTCTTCAGTAAGTGCCTAGTATACCCGCACACAGGAAAGTTGCACCCAAAAGGCTCAAACAGCGGGCGAAGTCCTCGCCTGCTGGTCTCAGCAGGTATGGCTTAAATCACGATGACGATGATTAAATCGTGATCGAATTGGAGCTCATGAAGCGATCGGTGCTAACCGGCAATCATGATTAGCGCCGAACGGTACATCAGTACTTCGAGAAATGATATGTTTGCGCCACCGGGGCGCCGACGAACATCACAAACCCAACGTCCTAAATACAGTTCCCTTGAAGTTCCTGTGAATCTGCTTCCAATCATTGCGGTCAACGGTATCAGCCTTGCTTTCCTGTCTTGTCTATTCCCTCTTATCCATACAACGTACAATAGCGTATTCTATGCAAGAGCAATTTGGGAGCATGTGACTATTACTCGAAAACCATATTTGAATGCAACACACCTTGCCGCACTGCTGCAGGGAATATCGGACTTCTACGCTGGCCAACGATGCTCAGTGCTTATATGCACGTACTCGTTGTTCTCCTGCACAAGTCACAAGTGAAATTGTTTTGTCGCTTTTAAATCGTGAACAAACACATCAATTTTTATGGCTCACATGCGCATCGCATGGCTCCCTCTTCGAGAATCTCACATGCTGCATGACGGCAGGATGAAATTAATTTTCCAAAAGCCCAGCTACTGAATTGTCCCAGCCAATTATGCCAAAGAATAATATGTTACCCCAGTAATTGGGATAAGTTCCGCCCCTGAAAACCACATCTGCCTCTCGTCATTGCAATCAACTCCGGCGTTTTTTGGCGAGGAATATATTTTCCTATTCTTTCCTTTCAACCAATTGGAAGAAAGACTATTTCCCACTCAAACCAAGTATGCGTCACAAATCTATGGGCAGCCGACATGCAGACGCTTGAATGAATTAGGAGATGCAATTTTTTGTGGTGCAATTCCTTCAAGGGTGGAAATCGATAGCCATCCCGAGTCTGGGGCTGCCTGGAAAATCATGATCCTAATCTGCGACCAGTTTTCAGGCTCTTCCACCTCCAGCGGAACCAATGGTGTCTGCAGCCCCAGTGCCTCTTTCTGGTGGATCAGCAGAACGAATGGAGCGACCGTCACCTGCAACCAGCGTGCATCATTGCTTCAGCTCACAGCCCTTGGTGTTTGATGTACCTTTCACATTAATTCTATCCCATATCGAAATATACTGAATTTCCGAAGCCCAAGCGCATCACATTTAATCACTAATAGTGGAAAAGACTATATCGGAAGCTCTGCACACTGCATCCAACGGCAAGTCATGACCTGTCGTTGGTGACCAGCAACGCTTCGCGGTTGGACAATGTTCTCAAGTGATGCATTGGTGGCCTTTTCAATAAGCTCCGCAAAGATTACGCGAATTGCAATCAAGTGCGCCAGACTTCAGTTCGCCCGTCACATTCTCTGGCACTATCGCCTGCAAGAGATTGTGCTTCTCGCCGCCGCTGTTGAGTGACCACCGTGATGTCATTGACAAAATGTGATGTCTAATATACACATCAATCCAACAAAGGCTTTCAAGCGGCAGAGATCCGCGTATCGGCTTTTCACAGCATACAGCCAATTCCATCAAAGGCAGCCACTTCGTGGATTTCAACTGCCAGTGAGAGGGCGCGACATGACCACGTGCAGGAAAGGTGGGATGCCGTGTTCAGGCCGATTAGCAGCGTGGATCGAAAACACTTGTCAGGAATCCATCTCTGACTTGCGCGATGCTGTTCTCACCTGGGGAATAGGATTTCCAGCGGACTAGCAGTCCGCAGTGACTTCCACCTCGGAGGGGTACGAGAAGGGGTCCGAGGCACCACCCACGGTGACAAAAAAACTGGCGTAACACCCCCCGCAATTGCCCGACCTACAGGCGGCATGGGGGTGGTTGATGCAGAAGGCCCCCGCGCAGGGGTCGTTGAAACAGGCCACCTGCGGAGTGGTCGGAGGGCACGAGGAGGCTGTGGCGCCCTGGGAGCCGTCACTACCGGCACCGACGCCATAGCCATCCGAAGTAGGGTTCGAGAAACCTACACACGAGGCACCACACCCGTCAGAGGCTGACACAGAATTGAAAGCACAGGTATTTACGACACAACACATTCCCAGCGGCAGAGTGGCATGCGGGGCTGAGCAGCTGGCGGGCTGAATATTGGATACCACCACAATATTCGCGTCAGCTCGTCACTCCAAGAAGCTTTGCCAATTGGCCCTATGCAAGATGAGAAAGGGAGCTACAAAACACATCACTCCGAGAAGCTTTGCCCATTGGCCCTATGCAAGACGAGAAAGGGAGCTACGAAACACAGTTTTTGAATTTACCCCGATCTCAGCACTGCGTCTGTGCTAGAAGGTGTTTTGGAAGGCTCGCAAAGCCACAAACGCAAATTCTGAAACGGTGTGAAATATCGTCTTCATCTTGTGGCTGTGGCCAGGCTTGGCTTTTGCATTTACGTTTTTACGTGCAAAAAGGTAAATTTGCGAAAGAGCCCATTTTTACCGTTAATTTTAAGTTTTGCCTGCTCCCTGTGACACCAAGGTCACACGATGAAAGTCGGTACAATGATCAGTCTTCTGCCATCTCCAGCACCCGCAACACAATTCCACTACGCCCTTGGCAAGGGTAACGATGGTGCGTAGCAAAAGCTCGTTTCTTGCCCCTTGCAAGGCGTCTGCCTGCTACTCCCCGGACTCTGTAAGTTTGTGTGCTGTCCTTATGCACACGGGGCTGCATTTACGTTGTATTTACGTATTTCACGTAGTTTTACTCGCAAAAACGTATCTGCGTAACAACTAATTTTACGCATAAAAACGTAGATACGATCAGTTTTTACGGCATAAAAACCAAGCCTGACTGTGGCACCCTGAATGTTGGTCCTATGGCAGTTCCCCAAGCGGGCAATTTCTGTCGAAAGACCTGGAAGAATTAAGAGCGAACATACGACTTTTTCACCCACCCCCCTTTCTTTTAGGGATTCCATGGGGTGCTTCATGATGGCCTGGTCAGCCACCCGGCTGAAAGCCCCCTGACCATTGCGACAACTGCTAACGGCTGCAACACTTCGCTAATGTTATACTTGGGGCTTCCCAAGACGCATCAGAGACAATAGCTGTAACTTGAGCGAGTGTGCTGGCACGCACTAAATCCCCTCAGGCTAGATGCACCAATCAACGCGGCACACGTGACACGTTAAAACGGACTGGGCACGCCACTCACCCACGCAAGGGCACGCCACCTCACACATCTGGGTCGCTCCATTGCACTCAGCCTCGCAGGCGCTGCTGTACGTATTGCCATCGGTTCCGCACACCGGCGCCGGCTGCTCTTCCTGCGCACAAGTGCAGGCGGCCGAGTGGCCCCCTCCCAGTCCGTTATCCCAGACGCCCAGGGCGTGATCGCCGGGCCCCTCGCCATAAAACCCTGCGCACATTCGAAAGTCAGTGACCGATTCCCGCCGAAGCGCAGTCGCGGCGCGAGCAAGGCTTTTGGGCAAAAGCCGCGGCGGGAGTGCCGACAGCATCGAAACGGCTGCCGTGCTGCATGGCGGAGGTCCAAGGTGGGACGCTGTGACAGGAACGGGGTGGGGCAGCGGATATCGGGAGGGAGCGAATTAGCGGCCTCGACACGATCCAAAGCAAGCCAGGCGCGAAGCAGCGGATGGATCGAGCCCGGAGGAGGTGAGCGCGGTAGGAGGTGAGCGCGGTGGGAGGTGAGCAAACAAGGATAATATCACTGCAATGTTATTGCAAGCCGTCGTTGTCGGCATGCACGCGCCCACATCGGCGGTTTTTCCTTGGCGCCCTAGCGGCACGGCCATCGGACTCACCATCTGGGTAAGCGAAGGGCCTGGCGGCGGTGGCCCCCTCCGCGACGAGCAGAAGGAGCGCAGCCACGAGAAGGGGGCACGCCATCCTGGGCGAGGTGTCGAGAGGGGTTCCAGAACGGCCCCCCAAGCGGCCGCTGCTGCGGTTATGAGGCGAGGGGGGTCGGGGCACGGGCGTACATCCAACGGTTGCGAAGTTCGCCGGAAAGTGGGCGTTGAAGCCGTCAGCGCGGCGCGCATCGGACCTGTCCTCGGGAACATTTTCGCCCTACCGGGTTCCCTCGACCTGGCCCCGCGGGTGCGACGCGGCTCACCCACCAAGCCCATAAAGCACTGCGGTACCAAAGGTACAGGCGTCCAGAATGCCCCTGCCTCAGCACCGGTGCCACAGGCCTGGCTGCGACTCGGTCATGGCGTAGCCAGGGGCAGCCAAGGCAGTCCCATGTGTACACACGAACTTCGAGACATTCCGAAAGCAGTACTTCAACGAAAGACGGCGGTATCATTGGCGTCCTCAGAAGGCTACAAAAGTGTGGCAGTTGGACCCATTTCACTGTCCACACCGGCTCTTATCAGAGCTGGTGTCCGTCATCAAAGACACGCTGATGGCGCGCTTTTCACTCTTGCACACCATATATGGTGTATAATATATATTGACGATGTTTGTCCCATTTCGGGGCGCAGCTCCAGGGCATGGATACGTCGGAGGTCAACAAGCACGGGAGGGGGGCCGCGAGATGGAAGGGGGGCGATGGAGCGTACTAATCCACATACTAATCATAGACCCGTCGACTCACAAGCAGGCTTGGTCTTTACGTTTACGGCTCCATTTCATGTTTACGTTTTATGCGTAAAAACGCGTAAATAGGGCAACGGTCATTTTCACAGCCATATTTACGCATATTTACGGGTCGTCGACATGCCCAAATTACATGATGATATACAAATCAATGATCAGTCCTCCGCCCCCTCTCGCACTGCCAACACAGCATCCGCTTGGCCCTCGGCAAGGGCAACGAGGTATCGAACAAGAGGTCGTTTTCTGCACATTTCAGCGCATCTAGATGCCAGTCTCCGGACTCCATGAGTCGGTACGTACTATCTTTAAGTACACTGGGCCCAGTTTTACGTATGTTTGCAGATACTTACGCGTAAATACCCGAAAGCAGAAAAGCGTTTACGTCGCAAACACAAAGCCTGCCTACAAGAAACCAATGCGTATGTGCATGACCAGGCGATGCCCATGCCCATGTGTGGTTGCGACTTCATATCAACCTTCCAAGGACAGCCGTCGTATGTAGCTTGATGGAATGACAGCCCGAAGCTTGTGAGCACTGATGGCTCCTTTGCATTTGCATTGGACGTCCATTGGAATGGACAGATGGAAGTCTGCAGAAACACCGATTTGACAATGCAGATGTTGTGATTCATTGTCCCAACAAGAAAAAATCCTGGCGGCATCACGGGGTCATCTTGTAGGTTCAACTCGGAGGCGGACTAGGCTCCAATGACCGAGCATCGCCATGTCCGGGGTTCTGCCCCATTCCTTAAATATTTCACGTCGTTTTTCAAATACCTCGCGGGAGTGCAGGTTTGCCAAGTTTTCCTGCTTGCGGCAACCATGCCACGCAGTGAAATCGATGGAGTCCACAACTTGCCTCCGCACCACAGGCTATATAGTGCGCAGCAGACACGCACATCTGTTCTATCGAATTGACAGGTCATCACTGCCATTTCTTCGACGAGATCCGGAATGTGATGTACGTCCACAGCAGGTTGCGACACCATCGCAGCGACTTGACGCATGCGAACATTATTGGGTTGTAATGTGGATACATCAATTGCCAATTCACCAAATACTTGCCGGGGGAGATCCGGGACTGCTGGTCCCAGAAAGGAAGCGATATGCAATGGTTTCACGCATGAAGACATTGCATTGTCAATGGGCAATTAACCGACAATCAAGGTTCTTCAAATTCTCGAACTACTGACGCTATTGCCAACGGCAAGTCACCATCGTTTCGAGTAGATATAGACCAATCGATTGGTCGTTATGAGCGATATCGTTCATAATGAGTAAGCCATAGGGGTCAGATCTGCCAGTGGCAAGTGGCGAAACGACAGGCCTTTCAAAGTAGCATGGAATGCCACGATGGAAAGTCACTGTGTGAATACGGGACACCATTGAAATGACATTTGTCAGAAATAACTGATTTAATGAATTGCGTCTTGGGCAATATTAACACGGAGCAACGTCATGACAGCATCCAACGAACTCTGGACCAATGAATCAACTTTGTACACATGCATCTAAGGAGGCTTTTAGTGCAAGTCTTGTACATACGGCTGACAGGCCTATTAAGCCTGAGCGTGACGACTATTCATGTCGCAATACTTTCTGCCAGCCTGCCTCGTCTGTGTATCACTGTGTGAAATATGTGGCTCACAGGGATCCACAGGAAAGTTGAACAAGACACTGCCCAGTGCATTCCAGCCCGCACTGCTTCAACGCAGTCATCAAACAGGCAATACGGATGCAAATTTGCCGTATTAACCTTGAAAGGTGGGAAACCAGTTTCCGTCAGTGTTTGGTGAAGTGTGGAACCAAAGCAAAAACTCGTGTACCAAAACGCATCCCAACACAAAACGATCTGGCTGCTATTTTTGTGAGTCTGCGAAAAGGAAGGAGGTGCTGGAACGCAGGGATTTCGATGCCTCGATACACTTGCAATGAACGTCTGGACCGCACAATGCGGCACAATCCCCACCCAACAAGCGCTCTCCAAACGCCACAAATGACTCGCTGTTCACAGATGACCCACCCTCCTTTATTGACCTTCGGCATCGGTGCCCACATCCAACACTGCAGCATTTCCTTTCGCAATGGTAGTCGTCACCGCTGGTGCAGAAGTCGTGGCAGCGCTTGGAATAACCCTGCGAGAGGGCGATCAGTGTCCGGGATGGGGCTTCTCTTCAAGAGAAACGCGCCTCAGCCCAACCCACCATTCCACGATCTCCAGCGCTCCCTCCAACGGCCTCAACTGACCTCGGGGGTCTTAGAGACGCACGGCGAGAACCCCCGCATTGCTGCGTCGTCGGTCTTCTTCGCTTTCCCGCGTAGGCAATGCCGCACGTACACGCAAGACGCCCGGGGTTCGCGTGCTCCCCCAAGAGTGCGGGAAGAAAATGGAATTCAACGCGACCATCCCCATTTGGGGGTGTCCCTGAACATACTGTGGCTCCATATCCAGGATATAGACGCCCATATCGCAGGATATGGTGAGGATAAGGGCGAGGATATGGCCATATCCTGGGATATGGGCGCCCATATCGCGGATATGGTGAGGATAAGGGCGAGGATATGGCCATATCCCAGGATATGGGAGCCCATATCTGATACGCCGTGTGGGTATTAAAACCCATTAAGGCAATATAGGTTATATTGAGTTCCATTATTGGAACTCTAGATTATTAGAAACCGTCCCTTGTCACTGGTCTAGGGTGACTGGCTTCCCTAGACTATGTATGTAGTCTCAAGCCACGTAAAGTACTAGAACATATAAATATATATATGATACCGTCTTGTAACGGGTGGTCCGGCGTGAGTCATGGTGACTCACGTGCCGTGGCGAGGTGGGTCCACGGACTTAGCGGGAAGGCGCCCACCGTAGCATTAGCCTGTATCAATATCCTGGGATATGGCCATATCCCGGATATGCATATCCACGATATGGCAGCCATATCCTGGGATATGGAGGGATATGGCCATATCCTGGATATGCATATCCTGGATATGGCCAGCATATCCCAGGATATGGAGGCCATATCCTAGGATATGGAGGCCATATCCTAGGATATGGCCATATCCTGGATATGTATATCCAGGATATGCAACTTTTTTCCGACGTTGCACGGGCACTCCCCCTCACACTCGACCTGCGCTTTTGCGCATCTTGCCTCACATCCGTTGCCATACGTGGTGCCGTCAACCACTAGGAAAAAACAGGCCAGATGACACAGTCCTGACACGGTTTGCTCAAAATCCAACCGTGTACTTTTGGCAAATGTGGTCCCAAAAGTACACAGTTAGTACACACATTGACACAGTTTCAACCGTGTACCCTCACACAACTGTGTATACTACACGGTTTCCTAGGATGCACGGTTAAATCTGTGTCAATGTGTGTACTAAATGTGCACTTTTGGGACCGCATTTGCCGAAAGTACACGGTTGGATTTTGAGCAAACCGTGTCAGGACTGTGTCATCTGGCCTGTTTTTTACTAGTGAACTCCGCACATCGGCGCGTATTCCTTTGTGCAGATGCAGGGTCCTGGCTCACTGGGGCACGGGCCGCTGCCCTTTATGGCGACCTGGGTGCATGCAGCATTGCAGGCGCTGCTGTAGGTCTGCCCATCCTCACCACACACTGGGTCGAAGATTGTGGGGCATGAGAAGGCATCGCCTGCTGGGAAAGAAGGCAAGCAGCTGCAGCATATTAGAAGTGCTGCGCAACGATATACGAAACTGGAAACAGGCGGGGCACAACGTTAACGATGTACAGCAAAGAGCATAATCTCTCGTGTCCCTTCAGTTCTCTCAGCCATTCAGGAAAGGAGTTGTCGTGTTACAAAACAGACAAAGCACCGCACCCCCCATCCAACAATCTCCATGCAGAAACAATTGCACAACAACCCCATTTGCGAACCGTTGCTGTTCAAAATGTAATACAATCAGACATGGTTGATTGAAAGAGCCAAACACGAGCAGTTTGCTGAACAATGAATATCTTCACACGGGTGTAAAACGATCATTGTGGCTGTCACTTACAGTATCCATCCTTGGTCAAAGTGTATCCAGGGTCACAAGCGTTGCACACAATCTACCCAGGCCTGTCCACACAGTCAATGGACAAGCATCCTTTGCAGTTCTTGCAAGGATCTGCAAAGCAGAAAGCATTTGCTGGCTCAACAATGAACGTCACGCATCCCAACAAGACAGTTTGGTGCAACAAGCACTTTATAGGACAACAGCCAGAGCCTTGAGCAGCCGTGATGACGACAATGCTCTGTGCAGAATGTGCATGAAA